TTTGGAATACTTATTGAAATTCACCAATAAACTTCAATACCATATCATCTATTCTTTTAAAAGTAAAATCTATGGTACCTACACCTATTATAAGATTTAATTTGTTTATAAAAACAAAAATCTTCTGATACAATTAATCTTATGCTGAAACACTCCGCTTTCGATTGGAATAATCATTAATTAATATAATGTAGAATTTTTTTCTTGATTTATCTGGACTACAGGTTCAACTCTTAACAATTAAGGTGCTTTTCTTGAAGGATTGTTGCTTAATTACACTATCTTTCTTTAATTTAATCAATAGAGAAATTTTTTAATTTTGAAAAAATTAATAGCCAATATTGTAGGAAGAACGCTGCAGGAAAGGTATTAATAATATTTTTAAATGAAATTAAAAATGAATCATCAGCAAAAACCATAAAAAGATTTAAATGCCATCTATAGTTTTGATATCACTTCTCTTGAATTCTTTAAGAAAAGAATAAATTATTAGGGATCTAGATTTAATTGTATTATAATAATATATTCTATGGAATTAAATTAAAAATAAAAATATATAGAGAGAAAAGGAGAAATGTAAATAAGCTTCAAAACTGTAAATTTTTTGCAAAATAATATCCTGCAAAATCCTTACATTATACAGTAAGGTTTTATCAGCCCTTCTTATAATTGAGAATTTTCAGATGTATCTAATTTATATTAAAAAACCGTTTTATAAGGAGTAGGAATTTAAAAATATATATTTTCAAACCTACCCTTAATAAAATTACCAAAAACATTTTAATTACATTATTATTAAAATTTTCATTTTAAATTAATAGTACCTCCTAACGAAGGTGCAAGTAAATTCACTTAAAGATGTATTTATCGAATAACCCATTAAGGAGTAGCCTTTTAATGTAATTTATTTTTCCCCTTTTTATTCGAATTGTTTAAAAGAGAATACATTTTACAAATATGTGATATTTTATTAAATTATGGAAGTAACCCTTAAGAAAACCTTAGAGCCACTTACATAGTATTTGAGATTTAGTGTAATTAGAACAAGTTTAGTTTTGCAGTAAATTTCAAAGTTTTAAATCCTTTTCAATAAATTCTATGACATTGGTTTTACAACCTTGGTAAGCCTAATTTGTCAAAAGTTAATATCTTGAGTTAATAAATTTCAAGGCCTATAGTACTAAATAAATTCCTATATATTGTAATATTAATTATTTTTTGCTGATGAACAGCTATACTAATCGTGGCCAAGTTTTATTGTACATTTAAGTTGCAAAACCCGTATTTAGATGCATTCATAATAACTATTAAGTAAAACCCATAAGTAGCATTAATTTTCAATCATTGAAAATAATAATTTTTTTCATGAATTACATTATACAAGGGAATTTGAAAGGTGGATAAAAATTTTTAGAAGTATTGTCAACTACAGAGATCAAAGGGTAACAATTGGATTGAGTTTGCCAGTATTCATTTTTACTTATATTGAACAATATAATAGAAGTCAATTCTCTAGTATGAAAAAATATATAGTGAATATATGATGCAGAACAGGGTGAAGTTAAGATAACGGACGGATCAGATAATTATAATGAGAGCATCAGTGCTAATCAACCCAAAAATCTTATGAAGAAGATCAATTGGGATAAGAATTTAAAAAAGGTTTTCAAATACCCATTGTTTGGTTCATAGGAATCTACTAGATTGAGCAATCAGAAATTAGCAAGAATTAGGATTATGAAGACAAGACCGTACAGTAATTTCCGAAGAAGATATTCTACAAAGGCTTGATAAATTTTTGAAATGCTTGTGTCTGGAAGATTTTTAAACCTTTTCCTGATAAAGTCCATGTAATGGAGAGATAAAAAATTGGCGAAGGATAGTAAAGTTGGCGAGATGTCTGAAGAGCAGGAAATTATTTTGGAAGAAGAACTTAAGCCTCTTATACAACAAACAGATTTATCTATGTATGTACCATCAAATAAAATGGTAAACAAAGCAGTAAAGGTATTCTACCTGAGATGTAATCAATGGTAACGGAATAGGAGAAAGACTCTATATATTTTATAAGATTTAATATAGGAGACTAGTGTGTAGTTAATGGATTTTAGGAAGTATTTGATCTTATGAATGGTTTGAGAAATCGTGATGAAATTTGTAGTATTTAGTTATGTAAATATATGTATTTTCCCTTGTGCTGAATGCCCGCTAAACTTGAAGAATATTCAAAATCCATTCCATTGAGCATGAAGCTTGAGAAAACTCCATTTACAGCGATAAATCATTCAGTCATATTATAACAAATACATTCAAACATCGACAGGATATTATATGTTATTGGTATTCCATTTATTAAATATTTATTTAAAATTTTTTTGTTAACTAACAATTATGGTGGAATGAACTCACTTTATTCTTTGAAGTTTATTAATATCGATTTGAAAAAGTGATAGTTGGACAAATGAAGGTATTAAAATGAGATAGTATCATAAGTAGATCAAAATAATAATAATAAATGAGTTTTATTTAATTTTTTGAATAAATATTTATTTGTTATTCTGTAAATATTTATTTATTGATTTATCAATAATTTAATTTTGGTATAATAAATTTTATATTCTTATATTTCTAATTTCATCAATCTTCGTCTATTCTAATTCTGGTACATTATTTTTTTTATCTTTAGAATTAGATTCCAGGAGGCTTTATTTCTTGCCTATAAACTAAATAATAGAAAATGTTAGAGTTGTTCCATTTTCTTTATTAGGATGTGTGAGTATATTTCAAAAAGAAAACCATTTAAAAAAGATATCTTTTAATTTTTACTTTTTATGTATTGCCAACTCATTTAGTTTATAGGAAATTTAACTTATCTTCCAATAGTACTGCCATTTCTTTGAGAAAATTAAATATTTATAGGCTAAATGGAAGTCTATAAATATAACGACACTATTATCTTTTTTCTTGAATTATTGCATGTTTGTAATCGGTTTTAATATCTATGGTTGTGTTCTGGCTCCTTGTGCAATCTAAATTCTTCTTTTATAATCATTTTTCATAATAGTTTTAGAGTTTCTTCAAACTTCAGCTTGAGCCATTTCACTACAGACTTTACTATATTATTAGTCTAAGTTAATATTTTTCAGCTTTTTTTAGTGTAATCAGCCTGTTTCCCCTATTAATTCGCTGTTGATTGCTACCATAAATAAGACATGCTCTTTATTCTTTAATCTTACATTTTTTCTTTCACAAATTTTATTTTTGTAATTTTTGTAGCTATTTTGGAGAATATTTTTTTAATATTTGAGTAAAATGACAAGTTATTTTGGACAATTTGAAAAAATTTATTTAGTGACCAAAATTATTTACATCTAGATAACATTTTTTTAGACCTCCATCCTTTTTTACATGACTATGAACTCATTAATGCTGCGAAAAGATTCCTTATATATGATATGACGTGAGTTCTATTTCAAATAATTATAAAATCAACAACGGATTAGATTTGAATATTATATATTGTCAAAAAAATGATTCATAATTATTATAGAAGATTGATAAGTTGTGAGTTATCAAAAGATAGAGAATATGGTTTAAAAATAACCAAGCAGGATGCAAATATAATTGAAGACAAAAAGATCTCAAAAAATAAATATTTCTCATTATGTAAGAAGTGTTCTTTTGTACTGTTTTTCATCTTTTTTCTGGTCAGCAAATTCAATACTCTAGCATGCAGAATCTATTATGAGGATATCCTTTTTCTCCTACCGTGCCTTTTTATGACTTAATCAATTTTAATGAAATTATTATTGGTAAATTATAAATACTATTCTGTTTAAATATTTGCTTCATTTGTTGATCGATTAATTCATTTTATACACTTTTTCTAAATATCATCAGCTATTCCTTTGATATCATATATAGTGTAATTAAATAATTTAAAAGATAAAAGAAAAACCTTGATCTTTCTAGTCGTGATTGTAATATCTGCCATTCTAAAATATATAATACTTCCATTATTAATATTATTTATTCAAAAACACCCTTTTTCAAATTAATAATAAGGCTGATAATTATTCTTTTATATAATGTCTCTAAAACCCATCCTCTTTCTGCATATTAATTATCTAATAATTTAACGATTAATAGTTTCAACGACTCTTCCATTTAATGAAATTAAACTTTAAGGATACTATTCTAATTACTAATTCTATTAATAATATGATTTATGATATCAATCTCTTCTAATAAATATTAAATATTTTGATAATATTACAATTAATAGTATTTTAATATAATTATTTTTAATTCTAGAAATATTTTATTCTTTTTCCTTCAATAAGAAATTACTAAAATAGTTTTGAATGATTAAAATCTTCTATTATTTTTAAATTACTTGGAATAGATTCCTTTTGCTTTTACAAGATCTTATTTTGATTAATAGAATTTATACCTCTTACAATTAATAAAGCCATTAAATTGATGAATAATTTAAATTTTTTTTACAAATCAGATGAATGAAAAGTTTGAAGTGATTTTTCAGCGAATGAAATTATGTAGCACATTAACTTTTATTAAAGTGTATTAGTTTTGGCTGAAAAAGTAATTGGTTTAAATTCTTAATCTTTAGTTTTTGTCTATGAAGATTTTGTAAGACTAATATGTTCATCCAAATTGTAGTATCATTATAGATTTCAGAAGGTCAACATCTCAGAATAGTTGCAATTATGATCTTTTCTTTTTAATAGTAGATAACTTATATTAATAAATTGCTAACTTTATTGTAATAAATATTTGGAAATTTTTGGAGTAAGAACTCAGAGAAATATTAATTTTACAATATCACTTTAGATTTGTGATTTTACATAAATGTAGCTAATTAAAAGAATATTATTAATAATGATATAATTCATAGCACTATTTAGTGGGGAAATTTTTTATTTTTTAAAAATAGTAAAATTAGAATGAAATATATAATGTTGATGTATTTTTGATGTTAATCAATTTTTTTTCTCTAATATCAAACTGCCTTTTGATTTAAAAAATTATCTTAAATCAATATGGCATTAATTTACAAATTCCCCTTTCAAGATTAAAGCTTCTTTGGTTTCTAAATTTAAATTTTAGGAAATTACTAAAATCGTAATATGAGAGGAAACTAATTAATAATAAGCATAATTTACAATCTGAAAGGGGAACACTGGTAATTCTGGTCAAATTCATATGAGGAAAGAGAAGGAGATCGCTATATTGTATTTTTTCACCAGATTCAACATCCCTACAAAAAGTCTTACTATTGGAACAGGCAGATGCTAATAAGTAATCACTAGTAGAGAATTGTTCTTAGAAAATTCCATCCTAATGACAATCTAGCTAGGCCTTTTATTCACCTGTATTAACATTCCATAAACGGAAAGAGTTATCATCACTAACTGATACCAAGATAGTACCATTTTGCGAAAAACAGACTGAAATGACCTCCTCTCTATGATTATTTAATTTGCCTTTATAATATACTGTCTTAACATCCCAGAAACGGATAGATTTATCTCCACTACCAGATGCTAACGTAGAACCATCAGGAGAGAAACAGATTGACCTGACATCATCTCTATGACCATCTAATTTGGCCTTTTATTATTCTGTCTTAACATCCCATAAACGGATAGATCTATCATAACTGCTAGATGCTAATGTTGTACCATCAGGAGAGAAACAGACTGATCGAACACTACTAGTATGCCCATCTAATTTTGCTTTTTATTATTCTGTCTTAACATTCCATAAACGGATAGATTTATCATTACTTCCTGATGCTATTGTAGTACCATCAGGAGAGAAACAGACCGATCTTACGTAATCAAAATGACCATCTAATTTCTTTTGTTATAATCCTGTCTTAACATTCCATAAACGGAGAGATTTGTCATCGCTACCAGACGCTAAAGTAGTACCATCAGGAGAGAAACAGATTGACATGACATCATCACTATGACCATCAAATTTGCCCTTTAATTATTCTGTCTTAACATCCCATAAACGGATAGACTTATCATAACTGCTAGATGCTAATGTTGTACCATCAGGAGAGAAACAGACTGATCGAACACTACTAGTATGCCCATCTAATTTTGCTTTTTATTATTCTGTCTTAACATTCCATAAACGGATAGATTTATCATCACTACCAGATGCTAATGTAGTACTATCAGGAGAGAAGCAAACTGATCTAACATAATCAGTATGGCCATCAAATTTGGTTTCTAATTAACCTGTCTTTACATTCCATAAACAAATAGATTTATTCAAGCTCCCAGATGCTAACGAGGTGCCATCAGGAGAATAACATATTGAATAAACAGCATTAGTAGGACCATCAAATTTGGCTTCTGAATATAAAGTATTAACATCCCATAAACAGATAGAGTTATCATAAGCACCTGATACTAATGTATTACCATCAGGGGAGAAACAGACTTATCGAACATCATCAGTATGAACATCTAATTTAATTTTTTATTCTCCTGTCTTAACATCCCATAAACGGATAGTCTTATCTCCGCTGCCTGACACTAATGTAATACCATCCGGAGAGAAACAGACTGACCATACAGTATTAGTATGACCATCTAACTTGGCTTTTTATTATCCGGTCTTAGCCTCCCATAAGCGAATAGAATTATCACTACTACCAGATGCTATTGTGGTACCAAAAGGGGAAAAACAGACTGAAGAAACATAATTAGAATGACCAATTAATTTGGCTTATTTTAATCCTGACTAAGCATTCCATAAGCAGAACTTATTTCCTCCAGATATAAATATAGTACCATCAGGAGAAAAACAGATTGAATAAACATTACGGTACTGACCATCTAATTTTGCTTTTAATTATATGGTCTTAGTATTCCATAAACGGATAGACTTATCAACACTACCAGATACTAATGTAGCACCATAAGGAGAGAAACATACCGTCCACACATCATCAGTGTGTCCAATCAATTTCGACATTTATTTCCCTGTTTTAACATTCCATAAATACACAAATTTGCAAATGGAAGAAGCTAATGTCCTACCATTAGAAGAGAAACATACTGATTGTACTTTGCTTTTCCGTTATATCAAAGTCTATATTTTTCCTCTTTTCATATCCCACAAAAGAATGGATTGATCGTCACTGCAAGAAGCTAATGAATTACCACCTGGAGAAAAGCAGACTGAATTGACTCTACTATGATGGCCATTTAATTTAATTTCCTCACTTATTCTTAGATTCCTCCATTTACAATTAAATAATTTTGCTCCATTTAAATTCATCCCACTAATAATGACATTATTAAATTCAGATCCACTCAAGTCACATCTCACAAAATTAGCCCCTATTAATTAAGTATTCCTAATTCTAATCTTTTCATAAGATTGTGTCTTCAAATCAACTTTCATTTCAATTAATAAATGAAGAGAATTTGATCCGCACTGAATGTACCTCTCATCTAAGGCAGTAAGATTAACGAAAAATTTAAATAATTCTATGATGTTCTTATCATAAGAAATGTTTTTGATCAGATCTAATTTAATATCTTTGTATCCTTCTAAAGAATAATTTTATCTGTTAAATTCATGTTCTTTTATTTTATTGAGAACATCAGTTATTTTCTCAACGTCATTCTTTCTGACATTGTATATCTATTCCTTATCAAATAGTGATTAATTTTCACCTTATGGCTCTTCATATTCAACTTGCCATTAATTTTAATTCTCTGTGAGAAATCTTAGACAGTCTTAAATTTTCTTTCTTTTCAATATTTTAATTAGAGTAGGAAGGAATAATTCATTAAATTCTGTAGATGGAGCCAATACCCCATACAAATTTTGCTCCTACTTGTTTGAGCCATTCATTTCCTCTTTTTTAAATAATATTGAATTTATATTTCTTAATTTTGAATTTATCCAATGAATCATACCTAAAATTTAAGACATTAAAGGTACAAGAGTAGAACTATTAAACTTATGCTATTGCAGCAACTTTGAATATCTCAACTTAAAAAAGAATACGAAAATTCATAATAAGTGTTGCAGAAAGAAACTGATTACAAAGATCAGATATCTTTTGAATAAAGAAATTTATACAAGAACAAGAATGTTTTGAATTAAATCAATTATAAAAAACCATAGCTAAGGAACTTTTAAAATTCATTATTAAACGATGCTAGAGGGATTAATAACTTAAATCTTAAATCTAACTTTGCACTTTAAAAACTTAAATTACCTCATTAGCAATGTCTAATTTTGTTTTTTAGATATAGCAATTTTTAGTTTTCATCACAAGTAATAAAGATGTTGGTAATTGAGGGGTCAACTACAAAACCATTAATCATATTAGATGAGGAAAAATACTTTTGTGTTTAGGAGCACTTGGAATGAATGATTTTTCACATTTTTATTGATTAAGGGGAACATCACTCTGAAGTTTATTCATATCGTCTTTGATTAAGAATTTGAAAATATATGTAATATACACTTTGAAGAATCAGAGTTTATGTTAGTTCTAGACAATCCTCCAATTCCCAAAAATAACAGAGTTAGAAAACTATTAAAAGCAGTTGAAAAATTTTGCCTTCACATTCTCCAAATTGAATTTAATTGAACAATTATGGTAGTTGATGAAATTGCATGTTTACAAAAACGATATTGAAAGACTAATTCATGAGTACTTTAGGTAATTTTCGAGTTTGGG